AGATAGATATATATGTATACATATATATATATATATATGTATTTATATATATATACATACACATTTGCAAATTGCAAAGCTCGCCACAGCTTTCGCCACCATCATCAAAATTCTCATCTCTTATGCACCGTAGTGTTTGCAAGCACAACCGCCGTCATCAGTGTCGAAACCAGAGAGCATAGCGCTGCTACCATCAGCATCTTTCTGTCGACCAACCTCACTGTTCTGGATGCTGGATATGCTTGTGCGGGTCTTCAATTTCTGCATTCTACTTCCCAAACAGCTGCTATTGTCCCTGTCGTTCCCATAGCCAACGTAACCTGAATTGTGCATGTTGGTCTTGTGAACGGTGCTGTTGGCGCTGCTGCTCTTGGGCTGATGCCGTTTTACATTGCTCTTGATGTGTTGCACCATGTCGTTGCGATGTTACTGTTGCTACTGCTGCTGCGCTCTTTTTTACAGATTCTGTTGTATCTCTCTCTTCTTGGTTCTCACGCTTCCGCCCCGTCCTTGGTGTAGGGATGCATCTCGCAGTCTTTCTTGAAGTCCTCGATGGCCTGCAGGAGGCATGCCGCCAGACCCCAACATGCCTCTCCTGAAACTCGAGGAGCTGAGCCCTCGTATTCTACATTCAGGGTTTAAGGTTCAGGGTTTAGGCTTTAGGGGTTTAGGGTCTAGGGCATTTGAGCCATGTGCAAACCTTCAACAACACGATTGGTGTGTTCATGAGGGCCTTTTGCTTATCGTATGGCCAGGACGAAGCGTATAGCAGGGTTGTGCAAGACTGTTTGTCCAAACCTTGGTGGATCTAATATACTCGACGTGGTAAGAACATGAGCCTTTAGTGGGGCTTAGAGTTTCCAATCTAGCAACAATTTCTTCATTTAGGCAGGCCAACAGCCAATGCAAACGGTGTTGGCTTGGATTGGAAGAACTCGGGATCAATGCCGAACTCCCGTCAAACTCTCTGGGCAGCCCCTCCGTGGCGAGGTTCTTGTGCTGGGTCTCCCATCGGTCCATTATGTCCTGCCGATCTTGCGGATCTAGGCTCAGTTATTATCGGAGATCAACTCAGGTGCAGAACAACATAGGATTCTTGAATATCGCGCTTCGGCAGCTGCGAAAGTCGACAAAGGTTCACCTACTGGTCTCACAATCAGAAATGCCTTCGCCCCAGGCAGCGCTAGGGAATGTAGTATTAGTGGCAATCCTTCCGACCCCTAGATGTGTCTTTTTACGCTCGCACTCGGGACAAGGTCTGTAGACCTCTATATCAATAGGTATGTGCACATTGCCAGCTGCAGCCCGGGCCTTCGTCACCTCCTCTGGTCGGTGTGCATAGCTGCGGATCCCATCCTGTTTGGAACGTGTTCGTGGAGTAAGAAGTCAAACATGCATAGGAACTTAGCCATGGAGTGCGAGCAATGCCATCAATTCTTACTTTGATTTGCAATCATGATGCAGTACGATTCGCATGGTGGTTCTAGGTCTCGTCCCCTTGCGGCTACCCACTACCACTTTGCTCAAGTCATGCGACAGGTTCCGTGCAATATAACCATGACGGCAGCGGTGATGTTGGTGGCGACCGTGGTGGTGTGGCATGGAGATAGTGAACATGAAAGCCTTGTATCATGGCTCCTCCATGTCACCTGTGGGCTTAATTTTTGTCAAGTTCTGCAATACATTGCGATGCAAGATCGGAAGTACCGCTCGACCCAACTCAGAAACTCGCGGAGCACAGGCAACAGCTCAGGTCATGACCAAGATGCCCGTGTAAACCTCCAGAACATCGGCTTCGTATGCCGACCTCGGCACGAACCCTCGCAGATCGCGAAATGACAGGAGAAAAAGCTGCGTCATGCAAAGCAATGTGCTAGAGTAGGTGAGCAAGCGATTCAGGATGAGCTATGTTGTGTATCGTGTTTTGGATGTCCAAATGGTATCATGAATGAGTAGAAATACCGTCGGAATGCAGCTCCACAGATCTGACGTCACCAAAACACGAACAACCTGAACTCAGAGTCGAAAGACAAGCCGATGTGTATGAAAACCCGGGAGTCACTGTTTAAGACCCTCTCGTCAAAGCAGGCTACAGAGCCAAGGCAGTCATGCTCCGGCTCCTCCTCCGTAGCAGTTCTGGTCTTTGTTATACCCAAAGGGTCCAATGTACCTACATAGTAGAATGTAGGGTTTCTATATCAGGAATTACTATTCTGATTTAGGGAAGTATCCCCCAAAACAGTACACAGGACCCTTCGGGATAAGCTTTCGGCCCATCCGCGGCCGCCATCCGCATGACCACGCCGCATCGTTGAGCAGGTCGAGGCCTCGGAAATCCCAGGGCGCATGCTCTCGTGGACTGTTCCTCATACTCTTCGTCTAGGGTTTAGGGTTTAGGGTTTAGGGTTGAGGGTTTCGGTCTATGTATGTATGCAAGTGGGCCGGGGGGGGAAGGCAGGCAGGCAGGGAGGCTGATACATTAGGTACATAGGTCGGTCGACGTGTACCGATATGCTGACTCTATGATGCTTCTGGTGCAACGAGTGGTCTGACTACCGGGGCACGTTTATGATGCTGCTGCTGGATGGACAAACGGCGTTAGACGACGTGCTTATGCTTTCAGCTCATGCTATCACAAAGCACTGTAGAATGAAATGCTGCGGCCACACAGGCATTGTCAAGGAGGGCTTGTCTCATGAACGGACGCGCGGATGCATTGCTTAGCGTACGTAGGTGCTCTGCTCTTGCTCAGGGAGAACACAGCATGAGCATCCTCTGCACACCTGCGTGCGGATCGTGACCTCTGTTCTGTGGGCTCTCTCAGCAAGGCCTTACTTGATAGACGCACCGAAACCTTCGAAAGATAAACTATAGGTCCGAAGGACTAGCAGCCAAAACACAGACTACAAGAAAGAGCTTGCAGAAGCAGTGTCGGCGTTTGGTTTAGGGAGGTGCCGCAAATTTCGAATCTATAGCAACTCGCCTCAGACTCAGAAGGAATAAGTCTCGAGTCCCTTCATCTCAGAACCACCAAACCTGCTGAAATGCACCTCAAGGATGCTCCCTGAAGCCCTAAGCCCTAAACCCAAACCCTAAACCCTAAACCCTAAACCTAAACCCTAAACCCTAATCCCTAATCCCCGAAGCACCGTAGGCTGAGGAGATCCGGCCCGATGGAGCCCTGGTATCTGGCAATGAGATCCGCCCTGAGCCAACAGCGCTCGGCGAGCGGGATCTAATCCAAGATCTTGACTACTTAGAATAGGGGCCGTGCGGTGGGTCTATATACTTATCGTATATTTCTGATTCAGTATGTATATATTTATATACTGAGGAACCTAAGGTCCAGTGACGACTAGCAGTAACCCCTAAACCCTAAAGCCAAAACCCTAAACCCTAAACCCTAAACCGTAACGATTATTGAATCCCCGTTTTGGGCCCCCCGGTGTCTCAAGGGTTTCACACCAATCGAGGCGAGCAGGCTGAGAGTGGCACACAGCCTTCACCCTACGTACCGGCTCAGTGGGGTGTGCATGGATTGGGTTTAGGGCCGTTTAGGGTTTAGGGTTTAGGGTTTATAGGGTTCAAGGTTTGGGTTTAGGGCTCAATCCACTCTTCACATGGGTGTAAAACCTGCCCAGTGAAACCTTGAGCGTCAGGGTTGCGGGCTTCAAAGATTTTGGATCTGTACAGGTCCAGACGCATTTGCCATAGAGTAGTCCATCCCACTTTGCTTGGGAAATCTCGCTCTCTCTCTCTCTCTCTGCCTCTCTCTGTGACTCGACGTGCCGTCTTCGGAGCTGCGGGCTTTGGGCAGTCCAAGTTTGCTCGGGTTCCTCGGAATGCGGCCTCTAACAGTCAGAGGCATCGAGGGCTCAAAACTCGACTTCTTCCTCTACCTGGACCCTAAAGGACCCACCTTTTTCGGGTTCCTTATGATGATTTCCTTATATAAGTCCTTAAAAAAGTAGGTTCTTTAGGGTCTAGGTAGTCTTTATCGAGAATTGCCCGACCTCACTGAGGCCCTTGTTTTGCAACGGACGGACGTCTCTCTGGCCTCGAGCACTCTGTGTGAAGCGTATCTTCTAGGAGTTCCATCGGCTTTGTACATCCAGTCACCTCCTTGCCTTGGAGCCTTTGGGGTCTCTTTGTAACCCCTAAACCCTAAACCCTAAACCCTAAAGCCTAAACCCTAAACCCTAAACCCTAAAGCCTAAACCCTAAACCCTAAACCCTAAACCCTACCATAGAAAGCAATGTAAGAACGAGCCCGTTCAGGACTCAGCTATCCTTCAGCAAGCCCATGGAAGGCGAAGCTTGCTAGTCAAACTCTTGCGGTTTAGGGTTTAGGGTTTAGGGTTTAGGGTTTAGGGGCAAACGACGGCCGATGCCAAAACTCACGGGAACGCTGCCGACTAAGGCACCACTATCCTGGCATCCCTGCGCAACCCCGGGTGCCCGGGTGCCACAGTCCTTCGCTTTGCCCATAACACTCCTCACTACTTCAACCCCGAAGTTGCTGGAGCAAGTTCTTGTATCCTTCTGGCAGGTGTACTTAGACATGGCCAAGAACCATATATAAGCCTATGTACTTCAACTTAACTTACCCAAACCCTTGATTAGAATGATAGATCGATTTGGGAATGCTCAGCGCCGCACACCGCAGAGGTGTCTGCCAGGTCACACCGCACATCGTGGTGAGAAGTGTACTCCTGAAGGTATGGGACCCGGGTATCTCCAGGGCCTACTTGGCAAGAATGGCCCTGTTACCACTGAAACGGTGGGACGGATGACTGCGCACTTTACAACTGACCAGGGCAAAGACTTCTGATGAGCGGCCGGCCCTATTGAGACCGAAGGCCCCAAACACACCTAAACCTGCAAGGAACCAACATACCCAAAGCGAGAGAGCAAGGTTGCAGACGCACTTTTGCACGCAACAACCCATAATTCGAAGATCAGCCCCATAGCCACAATCACGGACTCACAAAAACTATAAGGAAGCTCCCCGTTCTGCAAAGTATATCATGACTTGCGGGCAATGAAACATCCCACATATATAGAGACTACAAGCCGGCAGCTTGTTGAGTTCTGGAAACGACAATATCCAGAGATGCAGCGACGATGCACGCAACATCGTGGGCAGAATCGTCCATCTTCTCACCATGATGGTCATCATTATCATCATGATTTCTACCAGCAGTGCTTGTTAGCCAACGGCATCAGAAGCATAATTCTCATCGCCATGATCATCGTCGTCGTCATCATAATAATCATCACCACCATCATCACCACCATCATCATCATAATGCTGACCATCATCATCACCCATGTCGTCGCCATTACCATCATAAGACAAGAAAGCGAGACTGTCAGCATTTCAAGTCTCTAGCTTGTTTTCCGTATCGCCTGGCATGCACGGCAGCTATGGCGGAAACACATGCCAAAGGCCCAGCTTGCGTCATTGGACCTGGCCCTTGAGCCCAAGGAAACATAGTGTCCGTCCTCGGACCGACTCAGAAACAGAGCCCGATATTGTCGGACCATAAGTGTGAGACTATTTGGGGCATCGCATCCCACTAACCTTGTACATAACCAGCACGAGGAGAAACGACTCACGATCGATCATGCGTTTTGCAAACTGCTTCAAAGCCGCTTCACATGATGACTATTTCTCCATCAGGAACATCTTAGTGATGTCGCTAGCTCTGATCAAGAGTCTAGATTGTCTAGAACGACACTTCCTAAAACCAACAGTTCTGATCTTCATGACTGCCTTGTTTCACATCTTTGCTGGTCGGTGGCTGTGACACTCACGCAAGTAATTACAGGTCATCACCAGTCACAAGCATCTGCCAGGAAATCTTGGTACCAGTGGCTGCTAGTGGCACACATGTGCGCTTAGCCGGACGAGTAAGGACCATCAGTATCTCCACTGCTTCATGGCCGAGATGTCATTCTGCAGCGAATGAACCTCAGGTCACTCTCAAACCCACCAATCCATACTCTTGTGCTGAAAGGTGCAGTGCAAGCCCAAGCCCAAGCCCTCAAACAAACGCATCACCCGTGCCATCTCATGCCAGAACTGGTGTTGCCACAAATATCTTTGCGAACCGGCTGTGGCTGCTAAACTGTCGCAGTCTTCAGTCAAGGGGCTTGTCCATGAATTCCTTGGAAAGAGTTGTGGATCGAAACACGATGCTTAACGGCGTTGCCTTGACCGGAAAGCACATAACCACACGACAGCGAATCTGAGAACGCGAGCCCGATTTACTCACTTGCCCGGGTCCCGAATCTGAAGAATCAGCCCCATGGCTTGCCCTTGCCCAAAGTGATTGAAAAAACAAGTTCACCACTGGTACTATTCTTATGATTGTTACTATCAGCATGAAATAGTGTCATCATTTTTACAAACGGACATGTCATGCCCAAGGTTCAGCTCTCTCTGCGGCCAGGGAGCGTCGGAGAAGTTTCAGCGTCTGAATGGTCCAGATTGGCACGTCCTCTGCAGCGGCTTCTGAAGGAGTGTAAGATGGTATGGCTATGATGTGCGATTCTAGAATAGGTTCCTTCTAGGTCCGTGAGGAATTGTATTTGTCCTGTACTGTTTCGAGGGCATAGGGCAGCTCGGATCATTACACACACACACACACCTGCCGCCTTTTCCTCAGCACTTCTCAGGTGAGTTTTGCTGGACTACGCAGTCTAACCTGTGAAATCTCAGAGCCAATCGGGAATTGCGGTACGGGGGACAATTCTCCGAAACGGACACTGTCATTTGTTACAAAAAAGTAAACAAGATTCAAGAAAGCATGCCACATGCAGCAGCCGCTTAGATCCAGAAGGTTACCCCCGAATTGGGCACAGCACAGTCTGTTCAGGCTCCTGGAGGCAGAGGTTCAGCAGCCCCTCTACGAACTCGGTCTGACTCCTTTCAGGTTGGACTCATGGGGGTTTCAGGGTTAGGATTAGATTTCAAGCCGCGACTGAGATTGTAGAGTACGGCTGGTAAGTAAGTGTGGGATATCTATGCTGAATGATTTCTTGTCTCCAATTACACTTGCTGTCACAATGCTCTCGAAGTGGCAAACTCAGGGTGAAGTTGATGCAGTGAAAAAGGCATGCATCGCCCTCTCAAGCACAGGGTACTTATATAACCCATTCATCCAGTTCGGGTTGCCACCGTGGGCGGAAGCGCTTTCAATCGTGAGGGATTGGGGCCACGCTCATGTCACGTCGCCGTTGCTTTGTACAATCAGCACAGTCCCACCCAAGCTCTGCACAGACATGATCAGTCCCACGGTAGTGATGAGCCGAGCTGCACGTTGCCAGACCCATCCACATCCAGATAATGGAAGAAATCTGCCATCGTCTCCTAGGGAGGCTGTTTTCGCGCAAAATTCGAAACATGAGATTTGGTATGGCAATCTGGAAATCCCGAACAGCGACGAGCACGCGGATTGCCATGCACAGGAAAGGGGCACAAGCATGGGTTCTTTCAGCCGCACGAAGTCACAAGAAGTTCATTTGTTTGACCAGCTCATGTTCGATGCGAGATCAACTGTGCGGCTCTAGGAGATAATCTAAGTGACTGGTAGAATGATTTACTAGGATTTGGGAATAGATTCTACTGAGGTATCCCAAGGAATAATCATCAGCTAGCCAGGCTCCCAGGGTCGTTTTCCGTCTTGTGCTCTTGAGCTGAAGAAATGCGAGGCCTCCAAAGGAAGATGCCAAGCCGCCAGGCTTTGGTTTGTCATCCCTGAGTTTGACAATCCTGTCGAACCCCTGAGTCGGGGCCTAAGGGTTTTTTTTGCTCCCACTTAGCAAGGACTAAGGGTTCTTTTTGCCTCCTACTAGGACTAAGGGTTTAAGGTTTAGGGTTTAGGGGTTAGAGACGTTTTTCTTTGTTTTCAGGGCTCTCAATGGCTGATTGTTTCTATCTCAGGAAAGCGGAAGAGATGAACAAACCCCATCGGTGCTTGGCAGAAGGCCACATGGATAGACTCCATCAGCCGACCAGGAACAAAATCCTCCATGGGAACATCCTGCAGCTCCTCGCGTTCGGGTGGCTTTCGGACTTTCGAGCACGGATCTTCCGATCCAAGGCACAAAGAAGAGCTTCGTGTGTCAACGGGCCTACACGAAGCCCAGCCCGTTTGCGCAGGAGTAGATCTAGACACGCAGGTTCGCGAAAGCTGCACAAACTCCGAAGCCTTGAAATTGAGAATTCGCTCTCATTGTGCTGTGCTCCTACATGCCAAATCCCGCAGACCGCATGTACCAGGCTGCCTGCAGCCAAAACGAAAAGCTGGGCCACATCAAGCCTATTGAAGACCTATTGTCGTGGATGTTCAACCATGTCCTCGTAAGTCAGCATGCCGTTCTGGTCTTTGTCTAGGTCGTGAAATACTTCGATGAGGGCCGGGATAGCCTCGTGCAAAGAGCTGCCCGTCCGGCCCACGAGAGCACATACCGAAAGGTTGACAAGGCACTTTTTGTAGGGCATGCGGGCCCAAATACCACGTAAAGGTTGGGAATAACCTTTCTGGATCTTAGAACCCATGAGGGTCCATGACGAAGCCTTTCCGCTGCCTGGGTTTTCTGTACATTCGAGAGCTCAAGTCCTGTCACCTAGACTGTTCCTTTCTTGTCCCCTCAAACGGATACGCCAATCAACGCGCAAGCACGCTTGCACATACATGCGTATATATATATACACACCTATGTACACATGTCTGTATGTATGTATGCATTCATGTATGTACATATGTATATATGTGTACATGTATATAAACCTTTATGTATCTCGAGTTATATGTACATATACAGCATATGGGTATAGAAACCATATGTGTGTCTGCAAATACGTGCATGCATGCAGACATGCATGTGTACCTACCTGCCTGCCTGCCTGCCTGCCTGCCTGCCTACCTACCTACCTACCTACCTACCTACCTACCTACCTACATACCCATAAGCCCACATAAACATACATACACCTGTGCATGTATATGTATATATATATACACACATACAGATACGTATCCATACATACGTGCATATATGTACAATCCTGCATACGTGTACAAATAAACAAACATGTACAGACACATGCACACATGTGTCACATATGCATCCACTCATACATACAAACAGACATAGTCACTGGCACACACACACACATACCCACATGCTCACCAACCCCCATACCTACGTGCTTACATACATGCCTGCATGCCTACATACATGAATAACCCATCCATTCATCCATGCATCCGTTCATGCATGCATACATACAAACACACACACACACACATAGCCATCCTGGAACAGATCCAGGTGGCTAAGAACTACTCTCCGGCTTTTCCAAAGGATAAAGCTCAGATGGCATATCCAGGCAGGTTGTACTCTTGCCCAAACTGACTATCCCGATGGAAGGCGAAGGTCTTGCCCCCATGGATCGAACAAGCCCGAGCTCTACCTATATGCGATAAGGCCATCTGCCGGAAAGCCGCACGAGCTTCACACAAAACACCTACATTCGAAGAGTAAACATGAGTTGATGATCCCTATTGCTGTATCGAAATCGCAAGTAGAACAACAAACCATGTACGCATGGATATATATATATATATATATGTGTGTGTGTGTATATATATATATATATATTCTATACATAGATGTACCCAGATTTGTCTCTACCCATACCAAGCTACGTCATCTGTGTCCTCACAAACGTCACATATGTAGCATGTATGCATGCAAAGCATTCTAGCTTGGCTGTTGCAATGCGCTGCAACTCAGCGGCTCGTTTCAGCTGTTGCTGCAGCTCTTTCTTGTCTTCCTGCCGAAGGCTGCGACTCGGAGAACTACGTTTCGACTGCCTGCCTGAGAACCGTGACCGTGACAGCAAAAACTCACAATCAGGATGTGGAAGTGAGTTCACGCCACTCTTCCAGGCTAGTTCAAGTTAAAGGCTCGTGACTGACGACCCTTCTCCCACTTTACGGGAAAAATTCAGCCTTAAATTTGACTGCTGCCATGAAAATCAGCAGCGACCTCCTACGAGAAGCCGGCGCCGAACACTGACAAGGGTAACGAACAAGTAAGTCGAACCACTTGACCATTGACACACTTGTGGGAAGTGGGGCGGAGAATGGCTAGACGATCTACATGGAAGGCGTAAATAAACACTAACGTAAACCCTAAGCCCTAAACTAGATACGGCAACCTAAAAGCCCCAATCAAATCTCATTTCGCATGCGATTGCAAATTATGGAGGGCCGAGGAATTCAGGCACCGGACATCAGCTTGGTTGGCCGTTTGCTCCATCGCATTCTCTACCAATGCTGCAGTAACCTTGGCAGGCTTGGCCTAGGAGGTCTATAAGAGTTCGATGCGGATTGAACAAGGGCTCCATAGAGGCCTGCATCCTATGCCTGAACCCTGTTTATATGGATGGTTGTCAAATTTATGGTCCCTTTTTGGGTCCTTCTTATAATACGGCACCTATTATTTAGGGTACCCCAAAAAAGACCATAATTTTGACAACTACCCATATAAATCCCTGTCAACCAACATCCTGAAGCTCCGGGCCGGCCCTTGCATGTCGAGTCTAGGCCTTCTGAGTAGGTTTTCTATCTGTCGGACTCGATCGACATCTGGCCGCCCTGAAACTTTAGGCAGTTACCTACACCGCACACTATAACAAGTCAGCTAAACACAAAATCAGAAAGATAGGCATGTTAATATAAACATCGTGTAGTTATTTATTTACTTAGTTGTCTATTTATGTGCTTGTGTAGTTTCATCTATTTACTGGTTCAATACACAGATACATATCTGTGTATGTTTTTTAAAATCATTCTGTACTCTTGAACCTACCTAGGTGTATGTACGTACATATATATATATGTATTAGATACTCTCTCTATATATATAATGTATGTATGTATGTACGTACGTACGTATGTATGTATGTATGTATGTATGTATGTATGAATGTATGTATATTTGTATGTATGTATGT